CCTGGGCCTCGAGGAGGGGGGGGCGAGCAGACAGTCAGAGCTGATGGCAGGAGGGCGCGAGAAGGGCCCAAGCCCCTGGACGCCCAGGTCGAAGCTTTTCGAGCGGGGCTGGCCATCGGAAGGGGTTAAGGATGGACCGAAGAGGCAAGGATGCAAGGGGTACCCTTGGGAAGGTTGCCCATCCTTACCACCGGATTCGACTGTATTGTTTTTCTGCATGCCCCAAACAGTGCTTGCACCCAGGGGCTCTTACTCCTTTCCTAAGAGACTGGGCCTGCCCGTCGGTCTGGCGGCTGTGGTCGCCGTCGCCGCCGCGTCAATGTCTGGGCCTGCGTTACTTTGCATAACTTTGCGTTACTTTGCACTGCATTCCATTGATTTGTATTGCTGAGTCTGCGTTGATTTGCATTGCGTTACAATCGCATTACATTCCGTTGCTTTACAGTTCGTTACATTGCATTGCATTGATTTGCATTGCTTTGTATTGATTTGCATGTGCATTGCTGTGCATTGCGTTCCATTAGGTGGCATTGTTTTGCATTGCTTTGCATTGCTGTGCATTGCGATGTGTTGCTTTGCATTGCGCTGCTTTGCTTTACATTGGTCTGCATTTGTTGCATTGAACTGCATTGCGCTACATTGTTTTGGATTGCTGTGCACTGCTTTGCTTTGCATTGCGTTGCATTGCTTAGCATTTGTTTACATTGAGCTGCGTTGCGTTGCATTGCTGTGCATGGCATTGTAGTGCTTTGTTTTGCTTGCATGTTGTTGCATTGGTTTGCATGGTGTTGCATGGCTTTGCTTTTTCTGTGCATTGCGTTGACTTGATGTGTATTGCTGTGAACTGCTTAGCAATGCGTCGTATTGCTTTGTTTTGCTTTTAATTGGTTTGCTTTGTCCTCCATTGCATTGCTTTTCATTGCAACCGCATTGCAACCGCATTGTTTTGCAGTGCGTTGCATTGCTTTACGCCACATAGATTGCGCCACACAGATTGTGCCACCTAGATTGAAACATATAGATTGCACCACCTAGACTGCACCGCACAGACTGTAACATTTCACTGTTGAAGGTCCACGCTGGCTAACATTGTTTCGGGTACGGTGAGGGCATTTTGAATAAGGAGCCCATGGAGAAGGAATCCAGGGTCCGAAAGCCGGTGAAACGCCAATTGAGGCTCGGCCATGGATATCACCGCCGCCCTTCTCACATAAGAAATTCTCCAGTGTATGAAGCCTCCTGGGCAAATTTCTGAATCAACGCCCCCACGATAGCGATCGTTGCCTGGGGGAGGAGGGGGGGGGAATGTTAAGGCCCCGGGTGACGGTAACGCTTGGGCGGGGTGGGGCACGACGGGGCGGGGGCGCGCTGCGATCGCCAAAATATGCGCGCGAGCACCAGCATGTGAGAATAGGGTTCAAGCCCCCGCCCACCCGCTCCGTGTAGGACCATGATCGTTACCCGAGGGTGGGTGGGACGGCGCTTGGCCCGGGTAACGACCGTTACGCGGGAGAGTCGGCCTTGCGTGTGGTCTCAGTTTGAGCTGCTGATCGCCGACCATTCGTTCGACTCAAAGCTAAACCTCACACAAATCGAAGCCCTTTCGAGACGCTTCGAGGTGTCGGGTTTCACGCACCGGCAGCCTATCATACAGCGTAAGAAGACCGTCGCACAGGATGCAAACTTCATGGGCCTCGCTGAGGCCGACGGGGCCGACGCCTACTGATGGTGCTGTTGTGCACCAGGCAGGCCCTAAGGCACCCATCCCCGCCCCGAATTAGCCCTCAACCCTAGCAACCGACTCTGCAACATGCTGGCGTCGCAAAAAAATCGCGACGGAAGGTCACGTTCTGCCTCTGAGGTCCTCGCTGGGCCCCCGGTGCCGTCAAGAAACGGCTCAGGATGAAGAGCCGAGCCCCCAAAAAACGGGGCGGGACTTCCAGAGACCCTGTATTGAGCAAAAAACTGCACAACAAATCAAGACGGTTTTTTCTTCGTCGTTTTCAACAACTTCTGGGACCCCTCGCTGGACCCGACGAAAACAACTCGGGATGCAACACCAGCTGGGGAAAGGGGTCCGGACATCTTCATCATTCTTTGTTATGCTCATTGATCTGATTCGTTTGCTTTCTGTTTCTTCAAATCTCGGGCCCTGGGAGCCTCACGGTTCGATACAGCTTGAAACATGCAACAGAAAGGTGGGGTCGAAGGCTCTGGTCGATTCTCCAAAAGATGCTGCCATTTCTACGTCGGATCCCAGAGACCGTCGAATCATCCCAGCGAAAGACCCAAACACATGCAATTGTGAGTACCGTGGTTATGAATATCATCTTCGGTGGAGCTCCCTGCGGGGCCACGACACGTGTGAGAGAATTGTGCCGAACTGGGCGTGACGCCCAGGTGTGGACGGTGCCCTTGGGGCCTTCGGTGGAGCTCCCTATGGAACCACGAAGTGTGTGCGAGGTGTGCCGACAAGTGCGTGACGCCACCACCCCACGCGGTCGTCGCAGAGCGGGATGCCAACTGACGCGACGCAGCTGCGACGCCGCCAGACAAACCGCGTGAAACCTGGAAGAATTATGGACACCATCAAAGAAGATTGCAGTTTTTCGGCGCCCGAGGAACCCTGAGGCGGCCTAAGGAAACCCGAGAAAGCCCCTCTATCTTTTCGTACAGACCCCCCCCCGGCCACCCACCACCAACCCGCGCGGGGGTCGCGTAGCGGGATGCCAGCTGACGCGACGCAGCTGCGCCGCCCCCAGACAGACTGCGTGGAACCTGGAAGAATCATGGACTCCATGAAGAAACCTGGAGGTTCCCTGGCCCCCCTGGAATCTCGATGCGGCCTGAGGGAAGCGGGAAGCCGAGAAAGCCCCTCAATCGTTTCATGCAGGCTCCACCCCACCTCCAGCCCGCGCGGGGGTGACATAGCGGGATGCCAGCAGACGCGACGCAGATGCGATACAGCTAGCAGAACCGAGTGGAACATTCAAGAGTCGTGGACGTCTTGAGGAAACCTGACAGCTCTTCTGCATCCGCTGAAGGAATCCAAGAGAGCACATCCAATGCTTCGTGCAGACCCCATCCAGCATCCTGTGCGGTGGTCGCGTAGCCAGATGCCAGCAGACGCGACGCAACTGCGACGCCGCCAGAGCAGACGCGTGGAGCCTGGAAGAATCATGGACACCAGGGGGGAACCTGACGGTTCTTCGGCACCCGAGGGATCCCGATGCGGCCGGAGGGAACCAGAGAAAGCCCTTAAGAGGTTTCGCACAGACCCCCCCCACCACCACCGGCCAGCGCGGAGGTCGCGTAGCAGGATGCCAGCAGATGCGACGCAACTGCGGCGACGCCAGAGCAGACGCGCGAGTGGTTTAGATCGTTTCCTTTTCCAACCCCCCCTCTTCCCCTTCGAGGAGAGATTTACCCCTTTCCCTACCCCCCTCCCCCTGGGTTTGGAGGGGGTGCTTCGCGACGGGATGGAGCGTCCAAGATGGCTTCGGCGAGGAAGCCAAAATCATTGATGTACTAAGGCTTTGGCAACATGTTGGCCTCCTGGGGGGGATGCTATTTGGAACCTCCCCTTCTTTGATCGATCACCTCCGAAATGGCCCGATGATGACCCCCGAGTTTCCCAAGAGGTCCCCAAAAGTCCCAAGATGCGTCCACGAGACGCCAAGAGGCCCCCAAGAGGCCTTCAAGATGCCCCCAATAGGCTCCTAGCAGACACAAGAGGCCCCAAGAGGACCCCGAGGCATTCAGGACGCTTAGAGACCTCGGCGAGAAGGCACAACTCACTGATATTACTGAGGGTTTGGCCAACATTCTGGCCTCCAGGGAGGGGAGGTGCTAATCCACTGCAGCCGCGGACGCGGAGGACTCCTCCCCCGCGTGATCAAGCACTGCCAAAGCGCGCAAAGATATTACTTGGCGCTTCGCGCCGGCCACCGCGCGGACACCGCGTTTAGAGACTGCCGCCGACGCGACGCGGGAGTCGTCTCCCGCGCGCTCGAGCGCTGCCCAGTCTCGCGAGGGGTCTGCCTGGCGCTGCGCGCCGACCCTAGCGCGAGACGTCGCGTTCCTAGGCGATCGCCGATGCGACGCGCGAGTCGCAGCCTGCGCGCGCGAGCGCTACCCGATCGCGCGCCAATCACCCGCCGTACGCGCGAGCGCCGCCCAGGCGCGCGAGGCATCTGCGTGAAGCCGCGCGCCGACCCCATTGCGAAAAACGCATACTGCTTCCGAAGTAACGCAACAGCGCCACCGCGCAAGGCGTAACGCGCGCTAAATCTTCAATCGCGCACCGTGCGAGATTCAAGCGCGCAGCGAGACCCCGACGGACGCAGTCGCTCAGCGAGACATCCGCCGGGATACGACGCGTGCTGTCTTCACCCGTTTTTAGGGGGCGGCGTGGGGGTGGAGGCGACGAGAGAGCCGACCCTCGGGTGCAGCCGAGACAGGTTAGGGTGATTTGGGACACGAGCATCGTGAGCGCGCACAGGAGCATCCCACCCCCAACAATCTGGTTGAGGGTTTGGGGTGCGTACGCGCGCTTCTTGCCAGCACTCTGTCTATCTCGCGCTCTCTCTCTCTCTCTCTTTCTATCTCTTTCTCTCCCTCTCTCTCTTTCACTCGTTTTGTTATGTTTGTTGTCTCCCTCTCTATCTATCTATATATATATATATATATATAGATGTATGTATGTATGTATATATATATATATATATGTATCGATCGATCGACCTATCTATCTCCCTACCTCTCTCTCTCTCTCTCCTTTTCTCTCTCTCTCTCTCTCTCTCTCGGGGAGAGAGGGAAAGGGACCCGTCGGAGAGGGGCGGAAGGAAGGAGGGAGGGAGGGGGAGAGGGGGGAAGGCGGGGGAGGAGGGGGGGAGCAGGCGGGGGGAGGAAGGGGCGGGGGGGGAAGCGAAGGAACGCTTCCCCAGCTCGAGGGGCCTTGGGAGGCGGGCACGGAACCGCAGGGGCGCTGGAGCTGCCGCTCATCGCGTTCGGCCGCACCACGCCGAGGATGCGCTGCGGGCCGGTACCCTCCTCGCCCTCCCCTTCCTGGATCCTCCCTGCTCCTCCGTTTGCTGCTCCATCTCCTGCTCCTCCTCGCGCAACTCCTTCCCCCCCACCCCCCTCCTTCCCCGGGTCCTTCCCCCTCCCCTCTGGTTATTCCCCTTCCTCCTCATCCTCATGTTCCCCACTCCTCCCTCTGACTGTCCGCTCTTCAGTCCTGCCCCTCATGCTCTGATTGGAACTAACAATGCAGCTATCCCTATCCCGCTCATCTTGCTCTTCATTAGCCTCGTCCTCCATCTTGTCATGTTCCTCCTTCCCCTTCTCCTCCTCCTCCTCCTCCTCCTCCTCCTTCCCCCCTCCTCCTCCTCCGCCATCTCATCCTCCTAATCCTCCTCCTCCCTCTCATCCCGATCAAGCTGCTGCTACAGGTTCTGCTCATCCTCCTCTCTCCTCCTCCTCAGACCACCCACCTCCCTTTTCCTCCACCTGCCTCCTCCCAAGACTGCATCCTCCTCCTCGTTCTCTCCCTCGTCCTCCTCTTGTGCCTCCTCGGCGACCGTTCGAGCTACCAGTAAGGATCATCTCGACATGGTCACGAGAAGCCTCGTCTCCAGATCGGGACCACGATGACGATTGTGAATGACACACCCCAACTCTGGAGTGGAACCATCTTGAGCACCTTAATCTCTAGGATGAAGGCGAATGTCAGGACTAAACTTCATGATATCCAGGGTCAACACGCAAGCCGCAATCGCCCTTCGAGCTCTCTCTCTTCAATGCAATGGTGTCAGCCTGTCCGAAGGTAGTCTAACCACGCCTCCGTCGACTCCGAGCGCTCCGATCGTCCTGGCTCGCAGTACTGTGTGCTGAAGGTAACGGCCAAGTTCTCGATCTGTGTGGGCAGTGAGCGCACCCTAGCGACCGTCAGAAAATCTCGCGCTGGAGATGGCCCCTGAGCGGTCATGAACGCGTGCATGCTGCTGAAGGTAACGGGTAGCGGACGCCTTTCTCTGCATTGTGGACGGATCCCACTGGGATCCATTCTGTCCATCGCCCATGACATGGATCCTAGCTGTTCCGGAGTCATGGCTCATGGAGCTGCATGCTGATAGGTGCTTCTCTGAAGACCATGCGCAAACGTATGCTGACCCTTGCCTGTTTTCAACGGCAGCTGTAAAGAATGACGTGCTGATGGTAGCAGATGTCCTCTGAGCTGTTGTCGCCCATTGACGACACAAGGATCGATTTGGCACGGCTCTTAAGAGTCTCGACGCCATGTCAGGACCACTGCCTACCGCGTGGGCTCCGACTACTCCAGATCGCGCAGCACACGCGGGTGTGTTACAGACAAGCCCGCGTCGTCCATCGCCGCGTCGCACAGGTTGGGACTGGTGGTCAGCTTTGAACGATCGACGATTGTTCCAAGCCTCTGCTCCTGCTCCAACTCTCCGAAGGGCTAGGGAGGATGGTATGGACAGAGCCTCGGGTCGCAGGAACATCGGGTTTTTGTCCATTCGCGCCCCCTCCCTGCCGCCGACAAAAAGGAGCAGCATCGGGGGTGAGGACAAAACGGTATGGTGCTATGTTACGCTAGGTCGTGAGGCAATGAGGCAGGGCCGGGGGAGGAGAGGAAGCATGACGGGGAGGACGAGGGCAGGAGGGGTGAGCTCTGGGAGGGAGGGCTGGGGGAGAGGAGGGCGGAGTGGCGGGGTGAACGTGTCCGTCCACCGTCCTGTAATGTGTGCGGATAACACGGCACTGAGGACCATCGCCAGCTGAGAAACAGGGCGTGAGCCCACAGGGTGTACCGAATTCGGAAGGGACGCTGTCCAGGAAGAGCGCGCCCTCTCCCCCCCCAGCGGCTACTGAGGTCGCTGCGGGGCGTGCGACTCAGCCAGTACAGGGTGGATCCCTCCAGGACGATCATCACGAGTTTACGTTCCGAACGCACTGCTGAAACAGTCGCATCGGAAACAACTGTGCCGTCAGCGGCGGCGTTGCTCATACCCGCCAGCCCCCTTGCGGGGCCATCAGGCTGCGAGGCTTAGGTTCGCTGCCCCCTGCACCAGTTCTAGTTTCCAGTTTCCGATGTTACAATAATGCTTTCTGTTTCTTACTGTACACCGTTACTGTCCGCGCGGGGGGGGGGAGCCGGAAACCATCCTGGCTAGCGTCCCCGAATCGCGTGATCTGAATTTCTAGGGGACCGTGGGACATGTAAAAATACATGAGATTCGCGCTCCCGACGCAATAACCCCGGGTAAATTACACTGTGTTCGCGCACCCGAGGCCGAGATCCCTAGTAAATTGCGCTGCATTCGCGTCCCCGAAACGATCCTTTATAAACTGCACCATGCTCGCGCTCCTGAGGCCATCATCCCCCGTAAATTGCGCCAAATTCTCGCCTCTGGGGCCTTGATCCCTTTGAAATTGCGCCGAAGTCGCGCCTCCGAGGCTGCGATTTCTTGGAAATTCCATCACATTCGCGCCCCCGGGGCCACGATCTCCTGTAAATTACACCACCTTCGCGCCCCCGAAGCCGCGTTCCTGTGTAAATTACGCCACGTTCGCGCCCCCGAAGCCACGATCCCCCGCAAATCGCGCCGCATTCGCGCCCCCGAGGCCACGATCTCCTATAAGAGGCCCCAAGAGGTGCCCAAGACGCTCGCCCATGAGGCCTCCAAGAAGCCCAAAAGATACCCCACGAGGCCCCAAGAGGCACCCAAACTGCTTCCAAGAGGCCTCCGAAAAGCTCCCCAACACACCCCAACACATATGCAAGAGGCCTCAGGCCCACAACCGCGGCACGGTGGCGGGATGGGTCGAAGACCACTAGGATCCGCCGCCCCCTGTTGATTCATCACAGGTGTGCCTGGCGTGCTAGATGATTTCGGTTTTGGTTTTGGTTCTATTCCAAAAGAACTCCCCCTGGGGCTCCGGCGCGTCCCGCCGGCCACCCGGAAGACCCGGTTGCAATCGGTTTTCCTGCCCAGACGGTCCCAAGATGGCCCAAGATGGCTTCCAAGACGGCTAAGGTGGCCCCAATATGCCTCCAAGACGGCCCAAGATGCACCCAAGACGGCCTAAGATAGCCTCAAGATTGCCTGAGACGGCCCAAGAGGCCCCCAAGAGGCTTCCCAGACGCTCCAAGAGCTCCTCCAGGAGGGCCCGAAGAGGCCAAAATCATTGATTTGCCTGTTTGAAGGATTTTGTCATTCGCGTCTTTTCGGGATTCCGACGGCTGAAGACGGCACAAGAAGCCCCCCAAATCCCAAGATCGCCCAAGAGGCCTCCAAGAACGCCCCATGACGGCCCAAGAGGCCTCCAAGACGGCCCGAAGAGGGCCCCAAGACGGCCCAAGAGGCCCCCAAGACACCCAAGATGGTCTCCAAGACGGCCCCGAAGCGTCCCAAGAGGGCCCCAAGTCGGTTAAGAGAAGCCCCCAACACGGCCCCCGACGGCGTCAGACGGGTCAGGAACGCCCTAACACGGCCAAAGAGGCCCCCGAAAAGCCCCCAACGTGCGCCAAGAGGCCTCCCAAAGCGCCCCATGACGGCCCAAGAGGCCTCCAAGATGGCCCGAAGAGGGCCCCAAGACGGCCCAAGAGGCCTCCAAGACGCCCAAGATGGTCTCCAAGACGGCCCCGAAGCGCCCCAAGAGGGCCCCAAGTCGGTTCAGAGAAGCCCCCAACACGGCCCCCGACGGCGTCAGACGGGTCAGGAACGCCCTAACACGGCCAAAGAGGCCCCCGAGAAGCCCCCAAAGGGCCCCAAGAGGCCCTCAAGAGGCTCTACGAGAGCCCAAGATAGTTCCAACATGGCCTCCAAGACGGCTCCAAGATGGCTCAATCGAGCCCAAGAGTACCTCAAGAGGCTCCGAAGAGGCATACTCCATCCTTATATTTGTTCCTCCTTCTCCTCCTGTTCCTCTTTCCCCCGAAATGTTTCCCGAAGGCTTTCCAAACCGACTCGGGGAACACATGATCCGCTAGCTTGGCCAAGCTTTGGCCCACCTGTCGACCGCATTGGCGCTCCCACAAGGGCGAATCGCGACCTCAGACTCCTATTGTTCATTCTCATGTTCTCCTCCCCCCCTCATCCTCCTTGTCCCCTCGTCTCCCCTGGACTAACGCGCACAGAGCAGATGGCGAAGATGAATCAGGATTGGGCATGGCCGTGGTCGTTTGCCCAATATGTTCCACGACACTCGCACAATATGTTCCACGACACACTCCCTATTGCCGTGCATATGTTTTCATCGCATACTTTAATCAAGTCAGTTCAAGAGCAGTTTCAGCAGGAATCCGAAGGCTGGCGCGCCTGAAACAGTTACCATCGAAATCTGGTGAGGTGTTCACGCTGGGCATGGCCCTGCAAGGATGCCTCACTGGTGCACCACGCTCCAATGCCCGAGCGACTTCTCATCAGCCGTTCACGTTGTGCGTGGTCCTGCACGGATGCCTCATTCATGCGCAACCCTGCCATGGGCTCTTCCCGCGGCGACCTGCACGCGGTCACTTCTTCGCCTTCCCATGCGTTTCCTCCTTTGCCTCTTTCGTGTCGCACTTCTCGCACAAGCCTAAGGGGTTCTTCGTCAGCGGGGGTGGTACCCAGCGTTGTATTCTCTTCTTACCGCATTTCGTGCACCATGGGAACTGGCACGCGTTGCACGTGTCGAATAATCTGTGTTCACCGACAGCGTCAGACAAGCCAGGAACGCCCGAAGACGGCCAAAGAGGCCCCCAAGAAGCCCCCAAAGGCCCCCCAAACCCTCCATGAGGCCACCAGGAAGCTCCCAGGAGGCCCCAAGAGTGCCCCAAGAGGCGCCCAATAGGCCTCATCCTCCTCCCCCTCCTCCTCCTTCTCCTCCTCCTCCTCCTCCTCCTCTTTTTTCCGCATCCTCCCCCTCCTCCTCTTCTTGCTCCCCCAGGCGTTCCCCGAAGTCTTTCCAAACCGACTCGGGGAACAACTGGCCCGATAGCTTGGCCAAGCTCTGGCCCAGCTGTCGGC